GGGATGCGCCGACAGGTGCTGCCTGAGTGGGCAGGTCTCCAGGGAGCAGTTGCTCTTGGAGCGCTCAGCCGCCTCCCACGCCCCTCAAAGGTCCCAGGGCAAGGGCATAAAATGGGCATGGAGCTGCAGCCACCTCAGTTCCCTCCCCTGTGACCCCCAACCCCTTTGGTGAGTAGGACTCTGTGGTAGAGGGAAAAGGTGGGCGGAGAGGCCGTCTCCAAGAACTCCGGTGACAGGTAAGTAACCTTCATTTCTCCTTCGAGTGTCCTCTGCCCTTTCCCACTGATGGGCTAGATTAACAAGCAGCACTCGGGTCCAGGCTGATGGGACCATGGGGTCCTAATGAAATAAGGCCTGCAGGACTGCCCTGCCCAATCTCCCCTCAGATCTAGGTTACCGATGGAGTGCGCAGTGTTTAGAAAAAGCCCCAGGGGTTGCCCTGGATCTGGTCTAACTCGCCGAGGAAGGGCCGACCCTTTCAATCCATAACCGACTTTAAAACATAGTCTGACCCACTGGGACAGCGTTTGTACAGAAACCGCTCTTCCCTTGTTCTTTCTTTTATAAGCAATAAACAAGTTTTGGGACGGTCTGAATTGTTCAGTCCTGTCTAAATGAAAGGCTAAAATGCCTCTAACGTCCCAAGCATGTGACAGTCTCTCCAGCCTGAGAACGGGGCTTGGGGGGGGAACCAGTAAAAAGGTGAACTGGTTTATAGGCAAATCGATCACTTTAGTTAAAAACTTTGGGAGTGTGTACAGAGAATTACCTTGTTTTTACGAAAAACAGTAAACTGCGGATCAGCCATTAATGTATGTACACCTGGCGGAGGTGAGGGCTCTTAAAACACTGTCTTAATAGACAAATGAAATAAATGACAGCTTCCTACAGACTCAAATTGGGGTTGGGGGGTGTCCATCGATTGTGAGAGCCCTATGTTGAAATCCCAAGCTGGCAAAGTGGGTTCCAGTGGAGGGTATACATTATTTAGGCTCTTTAAGAACCTTTTAACTAAACTACATCATTAATAAAATTAATTCACACACACACACACACACACACCCCCGATGTGCTGATACGGCTGAGATGACCCCTTCCTGCAGATAGCGAAAGATCGGTTTCTTTTCGGTACAATAAATATTGTAAAATGGAACGAAGTGGTGCTGCATATGGCTCTATACCATACATGGGAACCCACCATAAAAATCTTTTCCATTTGTGACTATGACACTTCCATGTAGACACTTTCCTAGAATGCAACAGCACATTTTGCACCTCGAATGAACCACTTTTTTCTAACGTTCCCAGTGTAATTAAATTGAGAGTGTAGATCTGAGTAAGAAACCATCCCCTGTCGTTGCTACAAGTCCAGGGTCAGCGGCAGAGGCTCCATTAGCCCTCTGGACAGGTGAGTTAAGTCCAGATACCATTGCGTGGGCCATGCTGGTGCTATTAAAGTGACCTTGGCCTGGCTTCTCTTGTTTATCACTTTCTGAATGAGGGGAAGCCCTGACCTCAGTGCATTCAAAAGGCATCGGATATCGATCCCCTTGCACTGCCTACTCTCGAGCAAAATTTCGGACACTTCTGTTGCTGCTGGCCACACGGAGTGTGTTGTCAGACTGCCCCCTAAACTGAAGAGGTGTTTTACTGGTTCGTCCTTCAACGACCACTTGTGCATCTGCCCTGCTGACCAACTCAGAGAGTTTTCTCCCTGCTAGCTGGGTTGCTACTGACGAACCTTGTGACTGATACACCAGCTCCATGTGTAACCGTAGGGAACAAGTCCCCTCCTTGCTTGTTCTGAGAGCAGGACGCCATCGGATTGTCCATCACTCCCCTGCCTTTGACTTCATAGCCAAGCCCATTGCTCTGCCACCTAATCATGGAGCTAAACGATCCCCGAGCTCCACCCAAAACTGCTCCCTGGCGCGGTTCGAGGGAACGGAGGCAGCTGGCGTGCGACCCTCCTTTTACACCAGGGGCGGGCAAACTTTTTGGGCCGAGGGCCACATCTGGGTGGGGAAATAGTATGCAGGGCCGGGGCAGGGGATTGGAGTGCGGGAGGCTGTGTGGTGTGCAGGAAAGGGCTCAGGGCAAGGGATTGGGGCAGAGGAGGGTGCGGCAGGGGGCCCAGGGCAGGAAGTTGGGGTGCATGAGGGGGCTCAGGGAAGGGGGTTGGGGTGCACAGGCTTGCAGGATGCAGCAGGGGGCTCAAGGCAGGGGGTTGGGGTGCAGGAGGGGGGCTCAGGGCAGGGGTGCAGGGTGCAGCAGGGAGTTGGGGTGCAGGAGGGGTGCAGGGTGTACAAGGGAGCTCAGGGCAGAGGGTTGGGGTGCACAGGGGTGCAGGGTGCAGCAGGGAACTCAGGGTAGGGGGTTGGGGTGCAGGTAGGGGGCTGGGGGCAGGGATTGGGGGGGGGGGGGGCAGGAGGGGTTCGGGCTCCAGGGTGGCTCCCTGCCTGCCTGCCCTGTCCCCACGACACTCCCAGAAGCGCTGCGGGCCCTGGGGACAGGGCCGGCTCCAGGCACCAGCGAAGGAAGCAGGTGCTTGGGGCGGCCCATGGGAAGGGGCGGCTACGTCCGGCTCTTCAGCAGCGGGTCCCTCAGTCGCTCTCTTCCTCTTTGACCTGCCGCCGAAGTGCTGCCAAAGAGGAACAGAGGGAGCAAAGGACCCGCTGCCGAATTGCCACCAAAGAATGACGCGGCGCGACTGAGCTGCCGCCGAAGTGCTGCCGATCGGCTTTATCTTTTTTCCCCCCCGCTTCGCCGCTTGGGGTGGCAAAAAAGCTGGAGCCAGCCCTGCCCGGGGGAGGGGGCAGAGGGCTCCATGTGCGCTGCCCATTGCTGCGCCTGCAGGAACCTCCCCTGATGCTCCATGTTCCCCGTTCCCGGCCAATGCTAGCTGCGGGGGGCAGTGCCTGGAGGCAAGGGCAATGCACAGAGCCCTCTGCCCCCCTGCCCGGGGACCGCAGGGATGTGGTGCCAGCTGCTTCTGACAGTGGCGTGGGGCCCGCAGCCCACCCGTTTTACACCCTCGCCCTGGCATGTGTGACAGAAGAAAGGGCGAGGGAGGCGCGTGAGCGTTCAGCCAGACACTGCTAGCTCATGTTCTACCACTCAGGCTGCACCGGGCAGAGCCTCCCATGAGCGGGAATCTGCAGAGAACACTCCAAGGAGAACCCAGAGGTCCTGGCGCCATGCCCTGCTGTAACCACTAGACCCTTCTTCCCTCCTAATGACCATTCCCGTGAGACCATCTTGTTAGCAGAACACTCCTGCCCCAGCCCCAGCCAGACGCAGTGAATGGGAACATCTGGAACCTGGGCCTCCTGCCTCCCAGGCAGACAGGGGGCGTTTTCAGGCTATTCCAGAAGGCTGAGTGTTAGAAATCCCAATACTCCTGGGTGCCAGGGTGCCAAGGGTTAACAGGTACCAATGACAGCACTGCTAGGGTGAGCCCCACTTTGCAGCCCAATTGCTCAGGTGTGGGGGTCCTGGCGGCCCACCCCCCGTGCAGAGACCCACACTGACCTGGGGGGGGGGGGGGGCAGAACACACAGCACTGGATCCTTGCATTGCTTCTGCCCAGGGAGGGGCAGCCCAGCTTTCCCGAACTCATTTCTTTTGGGGGTGGAGGCAGTTAGTCCTGGCGGGGCGAGGGGAACGCTCGGGCCCAAGGGGTCACGCACAGGGACTGTTCACTGTCCAATGCTGGTTTATTGTGGAAAGGAAATAGAGACAACAGGAACTACAAATCAAAACCTGGTGAGAGCGAGAAAGATTGTGTCAAAGTATAAAATCAGTGTCTCCGAACCCATGGGCCGGCAGCCTGAGGCTCGATGGGGCTGGAACCAACGCTACAGAACTCCGTGGAACTAGACTGTGATCCAAAGGAGAGTGCTCCGTACAAAACGTGTGCAGTGCCGCTGTACAAACGCACCACGAAGAGTCCAGTCCCAGCAGGGGATTTTACGCCAGCTGCCCTCGCTGGCGAGCACAGAGCTCCCTGCAGTTGTATCTCCCAGGGCAGGCAGGAGGCTCTCAGAGCAGAACCACCGTGGAAGGAAAGATTCACTGGCCCCGTGGTTAATACAAGTTCAGCCTAGAGCTGCACTCTTGAAGCTGGAGGGTCAGAGCTTAAGGGGGTTCCCCAGAGCATTCACAGGTGGGGTTGAAGGTCACCTGCTTTCCCCCAGCCAGTGAGCAGCATTGCATCCAGCCGGGCTCTGCTGCTCCGGCACCCGTGCAAGGGCTGATCTTCGGCTGGTGAGATGGGGCTGGCTGATGCTTCTCAGGCCCTGAGGGGGGGTGAAGAACAGAGGGACGAGAGGCCTAGTGCGTGGGTTTGAACAGCCACGGCTAGATGCAACGGGGCAGAGAGAAATAAGCGAGAGGGTGACAATCCCATCTAGGGGATGAGCTATTGCAAACCACGAGAGCCACCCACCAGAGGGACGCCCCCTCCAGCCGGCTGGATCCCAGGGAGCAGCGTGTTCCTTATTGCGGCTGAAAGGCGAGAATGTTTCTAGCTGAAGCTCTTCCACTTCCACTCCACCTGCCTCCTGAAGTTCTAATCGTAGAGCCCGGCGCCTCAGCAACCCCACGGCAGGCTGAGAAGATGGAGCCTGAGGCCCTATGGTCAGCAGAAGTCTGCCACAGCCCCCCCCAATCATTAATAGAGGGGGACAGGCCTCCAGGTTCCAGCATGTCATCCTCCGCAGTAGGCCAAAGGGGCTTTTGCTGAGCTCACATGGGAGTTGGCACACTGGGACCGGGCCCCTGAGGGCACCCCTCTATGGGCATGAAGCTGGGGTAGCCCTCGGCCGCCTGAGAAGCTGCCAATGCTGCCCTTGGGTGGAGGTGCGGGGCTCAACACAAGGCTCCTTGGAGCCTCATGCAGCAGGAGGACAAAAAAAACCCGTGTCCCACCTGAGCAGGGAGGGGACATGCGGAGGGCCGGCATCTCTGCAGAGAACAGGAGATGAGAAGGGTGCCATCAGCACGCCCTGTTTGAGCCCCGCGTGAGCAATGGGGAGCAGGGGGATCCTGTCCAGGGCCCAGGCACGGGGCGGCTAGAGACCATTACAGATTAATCAGCCGCCCCCGGCAGATGGACTGAGGGGCCAGAAACCAGCTCCCCCGTCCCGCTCGCAGGCTGTTTCATGGGGAGAGCTGTCAGCACAACAGGTGCATAGACCCATCAATGGGCTGTGCTGGGTCCTGGGGTGAGGTGCTTTGCTGAAGTGATTTTATTGCTGAGGGCAGGAGCTCACAAGGAGCTGGGCACACAGCCTCTGGGGGGAGGGCACAGGGCACTGTGGTGTGGTGCCCTCTGGGGGCGCACACGGCACCATGGCGTGGTGCCCTCTGGTGGGGGGGGAGGGCACACAGCACCATGGCGTGGCGCACCATACGGGGCACAGGTGTTCAGATTAATGTAGTTGAACCCACAGTGCAATGTGGACACATTCTGGTTTACAATGAGCTTCTATCCATGTGGTTTGGGGCGGACCCACACTCAGACTGGCACCGAAGCGGTGAACTCAGCGTCCGTCAGCACTTTTGGCTGGTTCAGTGCAAGGCTGTGTGGGGCTGTACTGAATTCAGAGTTCAGTTAACCCTGCTGGAAGAAAAGATGGGAATGACAGCCCATGGCCTTGCTCCAGCGCACGGCCGGGCTCAGTCCAGCGCTTCCTTTAGTGAATCCAAGCCAGCGAGTGGGATATAAGCCAGTTGTAAACCACCACGAACGGGCGTGCCCGGGGACCTACACGGCTTTCCATCTTGTTTGAAATGCACGTTAGTTAAACCAGGACAGCTTGTGTGCAGCCCAGGCCTAGGAGGGGACTGCTGGGCTACAACTCTGTGTCAAGAGAACCGTTCTCACCTCCTTGCCGCCATTTGCCTTAGTGTCAGGCAAGCATGGGGACGTCCCCTTGCCCCCCAGTGCTGTATGCATGGTAGGCCGTGCTCTGAGGCCTCCCATAGGCTTTTCACTCCTTCCTAGAAACCACACACAGACCCCAGACAAACAGCCGCCCTGGGAGGGACCCTCCAGCGGACCCAACGCGGCCCAGCATGTCTTGCGCAACATTCAATGCCACCATGTCCAACGGCAATGCAGCCCTCTGCGACTACACGTCCCAGCATGCAACGCTCTATGGGTTGACCCAAGCAGGGACTGGCAAATTGCATGCTGGGAGCTGTAGATGCTCCAGGACACATCTCTGTACTGACAATGAAGGTCATTGCATTCTGCTTCCATTTGTGCAGCCCTCTGACTCCCAGCCTGCTGCCCATGCAGCCCTCAATGGGGCACTTGGAGCCTGGCCTCTTTGATTGGTGTCTGGGTCTGGAACATGGAGGAGTCCCTGGAAGATAAACCAGCCCCCAGAACCCGTCCTGCTGCAGCGTTCCAGAGGCAGCCCCATGGGACATTAGCGCCATCCATCAATGCCAGGGAGGGGACGTGCCCCACGAACATCTTCTCTTGCCAGCGCCTCACATCAGCTTACAGCATCGCTTCTTCTCAGCAGGGGTCTCCTCGGCCGGGGCCGTCAGCTTCAGAAGAGGCGGATCGCCACTGGCTGCCGTGTAGTACACGGAGTTCTGCTCCAAGTCCGAGCGGGGGTGACCGCTGCCGCGCAGGGTCTCAGCGAGGCCAGGTGAGAGGGGGCCCTCGCCCTCAGTGGGAGGGTAGTCCTCTGGGTGGTGTCGCTGAAGCTTGGCGGCTGCCCGCTGGCGTTTGAGGTCAGCTAGCGTGTGGTGGGACTTCTCCTTGCACAGGTCGGCCGACAGCTCCTCTTGGGTGGCCAGCTGGTAGGAGACGCTGCGGTCCAGCCGCTTGGAGTAGAGGTGTTTGGGGGGGCCGGGGGCAGAAGAGCCAGCAGTTCCATTTCTCTGGGTCAGCCCCGGATTCTGATGCTTGTCTCCCACCAAGGCCCCTGGACCTGCCACTTCTGCCTCAGCGCCCTGCTGGGGAGAAGAACAGTACAGTACTCAGCCCTGGTGCTGGGCACCTGGAGCCATGCAGGAATCCAGGGGGGGTTCCCATTAGCACATTGGGGCTGCTGGGGACTCACGGGGTGCTGAGAAGGAAGCGCTAATGGCTGCCAGGGGAGCAGGACCTGGGATGTGCCCTGGTGGTTTAGGCCACCAATACTCGGTTCCAACCACATGGGGCACCCAAGAGCCTTGTCCGGGGCTCTCGGAGCCTGCTGCTGCCAGGTGGAGGCAGGAGCCCTGAGCATCCCATTAAGGGGTGGGGGTGGCAGCGAGGGGGGAACCCACCTCTCCTCTCCCTGGCGCTGAGAAGAGGGACAGGAGACAGACACGCTCAGCGCCAGGCAGGACCTCGCAACGCGGCGTGCCGAGGGGCTGCAGGGAATGTGGGGGTGCCACGGCTGTCCCCTACTCACGGGGAGGTGCTGCTGGAGCTCAGCGTCCGTTTGCTTGTCCTCGTCCTCAAGCTCAGCCTCGTTCTCCCGGTGCTCCACCTGCTGCCAGACGATGGCCTCTTTCTCGTGCTCCTTGCGATAGAGGTTGGTGCGCTCTGTCACGCTGACCCGCCGCACCACCTTCCTGGGGACAGCGGAAAGCAGGATCAGCATGGCTGGGAAACAGGGGACTGCTTCCCGCCAGGAGCGAGCCAGTGCCGGGGCAGATAAACACCAGGGACAGACCTCGCCACAGCTGCTATTCGGTTGGGGGCAAACACCTGCGGGACATTCATTTCCAGCTGGTGCTGAAAAGCAGGATGGACGGCGCCCAGACGGGCCCAGAGATGTCCTGCCACTGGCCTGATTGCTTCTCTTTCCATGGTTACGGAGGAAGGTGATGGGCAGAGATTTAGAAGGTGTGGTTTCTGCTCAGCTGGCGGGGGAGGGTGGTGCCGTGGTGACCCATGAACAGCAGCCCCAATGGCAGCAGAGTGCCATCCTGTGTTCAGTTTGGGCACAAAGCCGGTGGGGGGGGGGGGGGGGGGGGGGACATCAGAGCCTAGCTGAGGCTAAGGTGCGAAGGGTCTGGAGCTCGAACAACGGGAATCCTCAGCTGAGTTCCCCAGATCTGCCTGGCCCCTGGGAATGAGGGTTCTGCTCTGGGGTGGCCTCTGCCCCCTGCGAGGGAGGCCAGCTATCCGTAGCAGTCCCCCCCGGCCTTACCCTCGGCTGCCAGCACTGGAGGTGCGTCGCTGCAGCAGCGACTTGTGCTTGTCATGAGACTTCATGATGGCATCATGCTTGTGCTTCAGCTCCAGCAGCTTGGCCCGGACCTCCTCGTCACCACACACGTCTGCAAGGGACACACGGGGGTGAACAGCCATGTGGCTCCAGAGCAGAGCCAGCCCCATGCATGCACTCTGCGGCCCTCCTTCCCACCAGCTCTGCAATCCCGCCACAGCAAGGATCATCCACTCCCTGCCCACTGGGAACTCCTCTGCTGCCACCCCCTTCTCAGGCATTCCCGCCTCTCCAGCTCCCCCGCTACCTCCATTCTCCCCCCCCAACCCCCGTCGACTGACCGCTGATCCACGCAGCCTCCGGGATGGTCCCCCCTGCCCTTCTCTCATCCCCTGCACTCCACCAACCCACCTCACTGCGCACAGAGGCGTATACACCTAGGGTGACCAGCTCGCAAGAGTGAAATATCAGGACTCATTGGGCGAGTGGGGCGGGGGGAGGGGAGAGGACGACAACGACAGACACAGGTGCACAGAGCCCTGAGAGGGGGCCCTAGGAAGCTGCAAGAGGGGTTGTATGGCCCCTGCTGCAGCCCGCACCACAAGCCACAGGGCAAGGACACCTATTGAATTCAATGAGAATTTTGCATGTGAATTGATGTACCTAGTTCTGAGATGATAAAGCCAGAAGGGATCCGGTGATCACCTGGTCTCACCGCCTGTATAGCACAGACATAGAACTTTCCCAAAATAATTCCTAGAGGATAGCTTTTAGAAAAACACCATGACCCTTAGTATATTGTTAATCGTTAATCACTCTCACCATTGAAAAGGTATGCTTTCTATCCAGTCTGAATTTGTCTAGCTGCAACTTCCAACCGTTGGCTCATGCTCTACCTTTCTCTGCTAGACTGAAGTGCCCATTATTAACTATTTGTTCCCCATGTAGATACGTACAGTCTATAACCAAGTCACTTCTTAACCTTCTTTTTGTTAAGCTAAATAGATTGAGGTCCTTGAGTCGATCACTATAAGGCATGTTTTATAATCCTTTAATCAGTCTTGTGACTCTTCTCTGAACACTCTCCAATTTATCAATATCCTTCTTAAATTGTGCACACCAGAACTGGACACAGTATTCCAGCAGTGGTTGCACCAGTGCCAAATACAGAGATAAAATAATCTCTCTACTCCTGCTTGAGATTCCCCTGTTTAGGCATCTGGTCACCCTATTTCTGTATGCATTTCCCCAGGTTTTTTTGTAAAAATCAAAACTGAACTGCCCCAGAAATTCTGGCATGTGGAATCATCGTGAAACTCGCATGGCTCCAACCCTGCCGATGAACCTTTAGATCCACTGCACAGACTTCTGCCACTTGAGCTAATGGAGTAAGTGATGGCAGAGGCAGTAGGTTGTCATCCTATATGTGATAGATCAGCTCTATAGGGGGATGAGACACTTTTTTTGCCACTGGGTTTCACAGATATCTGCTGACAGAAGAGGAACTGTGAAACTCAGGAATCCTGGGTCTATCCCAGGCTCCTGAATGGAGTGGTCTCTAGTAGTCAAAGACCCTTCTTCCCCGTCCCCTCCAGTCTATGTCTATCCTATTGCTGTCTAACCCGCCCCAGCTCCTCATCTGATTTCAACTGCCCCCCACTACCGCTCTGGTTTCCTTGTCCCAGTTTCCTGGTCCTGTCTCACTCTCCTCTCTCCCCGCCCCCATCCCTCAGATGGGATGTTCGTTCCAGATTGGCAAAATTATAAGGCTTCCCAACATTTCAACACTTCCCATTCTAAATTTTCGGTTGCTTAACTATAGGCTAGCTCTGCCTACAACAAAGCGTATTCAGAACCTCTGATTAAGGGGATTATAAGTGTAGCAACCTCCATCATAGCTAGTCACCAAAGATTGAACCCGAGCCATCCAGACTTAAAAGCATGAGCTTCTACTACTTGAGTTCAAGCTATAACTCCCTTAGCTGGTAGCTATACAGTTATCCTCTAAAAATCCACCAGAGGAGGGCACAAAACACATGTTGGACAGTGAATTACAAAAGTGCCAAATATTATTATTAGACCTGCAATACTTTTCACAATGAACATCAGCAGGGGATAAACTGGGAGTTTAAGAATATTTGGAAAACAATTTTAGAATAACATTCAGTGCTGTGGTTTAAAAGAAAAAAAACTGTTAAAACTCATAACTCAGCAGTATTCAGTGTTTGAAAAAAAACAACTTTTAGGAGCTATGGGATACAAGTTAAGAATGTTGAAACAGGAAGATGTTCTGCTTAGTTACCACTTGGGCAAGGCGGCGTGCTATGTAATACTTGCACGATTTCACTGTAATGTTTTACAATATATAGCAGCGCAATGCTGATTCCATTGATATTGTTGAGCAATTCAGGCTGATTTTATTTCAGCCCACATCTTAATAGTTTTGAATACTGCAGATCACAATTTTCAGCTCAGTTGGGCTGAACATGCAGAGCTTTAAAATTGCTATGCTCTAAACTGTATATTAACTACAATTTTATAAACCTGCATGTCAGAGAACTGTGTGCCACTACTACTAGACAGTGGCACAAGGCAATTCAGTGTGAATCACAGAAATGTAGGACTGGAAGGGACATCAAGAGGTCATCTAGTCAAACCCCTGCACTGAGGCAGGACTGAGTAATAACAACTAGACTATCCTTGACAGGTGTTTGACTAACCTCTTAAAAAACTCCAATGACTGCTATTCCATAACCTCTCTAGGTAATTTGTCCAGTGCTTAACTATCTTTACAGTTAGGAAGTTTTTCCTAATGTCTAACCTAACTCTCCCTTGCTACAATTTAAGCCCATTGCTTCTTTTTCATGCATGTCCTGAGTGGGACGGGGGTGGGTCCAGGCAGTGGGATTGGGGGGAGGGAGGTCGAGGAAGTCGGTGGGTGTGTGGGGATGGACCGGGGGAAGCAGGGTGGAGGAACTGAGGGGGACAGGACTGGGACTGGGGGAGTCGGGGGGCTGAGGGGGATGGGACAGGACTGGGATGGGGGGAGTAGGGTAGGGGCTGAGAGGAGTATGAATGGGACAGGGTAGAGAGCTGTGTAGAGTGGGGCGGGGCAGGGCAGGGGAGACAATGGGGGTGGGCTGGGGAGGGTCGGGGGGTTGGGGAGAGGGACAGGGTCTGGAGGGGATGAGACAGAGGGGAGCAGGACTGGAATGGGGGGAAGTTGAGGGGGTGGGACAGCAGGGGGAGTGATGAGGGTGGGATGATGGAAGAGGCTGAAGAAGAGATTTGGGGTAGGGCAGGGACTGAGGGTAGTGAGTTCGGGGTGGGAGGTACAGGGGGAACTGCGGGGGAGGCTGAGGGAACAGGGTCAGGGTGGGGGCTGAGGGCAGTGGGTCGGGTCTACACTGGCACCTCTCAGCATTGCTGTGCTGGGCGGCAGGACCTGCGCCAGCGCTACCCTGGCAATGGAAGAGTCCTCAGTGGAAATGCAGACTTCATGACACAGACCCTCCTCGTCACTTCAAACCTGATGCTGCTCTGGTCAGTCGCTAGGCTCTTGTCACTTTCAAACCCATGCAGGGTATCTGGCTCTTTTTCAGTTCTCAGGTTAAGAAAAGCCTCTGCATTTTGTGAGGGCTTCAGCATTCACATTCCTACTTCACAAACTGTCTGCCTGACACATTGCTCCCAGGGCATTCATCTTTATTCATTATTGGCAGGTCCATCAGATTAACGAGCAACACAGGGGGAGGCAACACAATGGTGTCAAGGATTTTTAATTTTTCAAACCACTTTGGCCTCAGCAGGGATAACAGCAAATCTGGACAGAGCAGATGGGTGTCAGGATGGGTTTGGGTATTTATTTATTTATTTATTTAAGTGAAAATGTTTGGGTCTGAGCAAAGGCTGCAAACTTCCCTTTGGAAACCTCTGCTGATCTTTTGCCCCAGGGGCTGACAGCCTGGAATCCGGGACAGATTTCCACATCCATGCAGGGTGAGATGATGGGGGGGGGGGGGGGGGGGGGGGGGGGGGGGGGGGGGGGGGGGGGGGGTGGAGGGGGG